AGGAGATAGAGGTGCTGTAGAGGTCTGTGAGATCCCCACCAGTATATCAGATGCCTTCCTACATCCATTTGCATTGATTGCCTTTGCCACAGAGGCACCAATCTCAGCCCCTTCCTCTGACACCACCCCCACACCATTGCACACCAGTGTCATGAGTTTTATTAACATCATATGCCTGGATGAGAGCTTACCTCCCAACCATTGCCAGGCACAAGGCACAGACTGTGCAAATGCCAGGCCTGGCCCCAGGATAAACCCAGTGTCTCTCCTTCCTGTTCTAGGTGAGAGTGTCCCTAGGAGAGGCTGAGGTGAGCACAAAGGCTTTTTATAAGCCCCTCTCTGCTAGTTTAGCCTCCAGCACTGGGGCTGTGCACCAAAACCCTCTGGGGCTGGCTAGTCTGATGTGGGACAACTGGGGCAGTGTACCGCTGAACCTTAGCATCTCTGGTGTAGTGGGAAATTCCCAGAGGAGCAGATGAGTGTTGAGCAGCATGTTGATCCCTTTGGTCTCAGAGCATAAAGCAAAAGAGGATGGTTATTGATTTGTGTTTGCTGCAGCTCTGGGCTCTCCCCAGCCCCTTCAGATCCATGTGGTGTCTATCACGCTTTTCCTATTCAAGCAGTAAAACTTAACAGTGCCCTTTCATCCCCACCTTGCAGAGGGCTGGCTGCAGCCTGCCTTTTGCAGGGAGCAGCCAGACTGTCTGTGTAGTGGTGGGGTCCTACTGTCCCCTGCCGGGCATCCCCAGCACGGCTTGTAGTGCTGCCCCAGGTTTGGAAACTCCAGAGAGCATGATTCTGTGGTTATAACATAGGAAGAGGGGGCACACTTAAGATTTTCTCTTTAGCTCTTCTGCTTATGTGGCTCCAGGTACCCTACTGCCATGTTTTTCCCTGCCCAGGAGAGGAAGGAGGTCTGCCAAGCTTGCCTCGGATGCTCTCAGTTAATTTAGACTGGTTTGGAAAGCTGTGGACCTCTGAGGATACAAGGTAGAGCAAATCTCTGGACTGCAAGGAGTTGTTTGCACCCAGTGAGCACAGAGTTGCAGGTCATTGGTGCTTCCAATCAGCCAGTCCATCTACCATCAGCTGGATGCAGTGACAATCCATTTCCTCTCCATGGCAGGTGACCTGGTGGAAGGAGGGCACAGGAAGGCAGCACATGGCACCACTGCAAAGGCTCTGGGCAGCAGCCCGATGGCTCCCTGTCCTTCAGTGGGCAAGGCAGGGTGTTGGTGTCAGTCTGTCTCAGATGGACATATTGTTGGAAAGACCTCTGCTGCCTCTGCTCAGAGAGCTGCCAAGCTCTCTGAGAGCTGCCAAAGCTGCCAAGCAAAGCTGCCAAGCAAAGCTGCCAAGCAAGGCTGCCAGACATGGTGGTTATAGCTGAGGACATGGAGAGAGGAGGGAGGGAAAGAGCAAAACCAGATTTCCAAAACATTGTACAAGGCAGTTTGGGAACTGTTTTTATACACTGGGCAAGCTAAGTCAAGCATGTTTCCATAAGTTTCTTCCAGACTATGGCTTGTGGCACCCTATGCCCCATGATGGGCATATCCACTCTCTGCAGTGCTCTTGCACCATCACCATTTTTCGGAGACAAACGTGAGGTGTGTGTGCTGCTCCCCCACAGCCTTGCAAGGCCAGCCACTCAGCACAGGTGCTGCACTGTGGCCTTGGTCACAGAAGAATGGCCACAGTGGTTGTGCCACAGCAAAAATGACTTAAGCAGAGTGTAAGGAGGAAGAGATGAAGGTAAAGACTACCACCACCATGAAACCCTAACACTGAAATAAAATCCTCTCAGATCAGCCCATATATCACGGGAAGCAGGCTGTAAATGTGAATCCTGGCTGGCAGCCAAAGTGCAAATGGCAAGCCTCTGTGCAAGAGAAATGGCTTAATGGGCAGTGAAGACCATTGCTATTATGTGTCCTGGAACAGCCTGTGCTGGTGCATAGGTTTTGTAATGTTGGTTATAGGCTATTAAACCCCTCTAAGATCAGAAGTTCCCAGTACTCTCCTGACTACATAGCTCGTTCCTAAAAACCTCACCAAAAGACTCAAATGGCTCATAGCTTCCTTGAGGCTATCATCTCCCCACTTGAAGAGAGGCAGAATGAGGAAGGACTTTTCTACCAAGAAAAATCAAGTTCCTGTGAGGTTGCTTTGTAGGAGCACTAGAGACAAAAATCCTAAATGGAAGGAAGGAGTGACTAAATGAGTGTTGGTACAAATCAAGTCTGAAGATACCTGTCCAGCTCACTCCATGCTGCCCTCCTGGGCACTGGAGTGAGAGAAAGACGTAGTGCATAGAAACAGTGGGTGAAGACCTTATGTTACCCCAGGCTAAGGGTTTCCCCATGTGGGGAACAAGTATCCACAGGAAGGCTAATATAGCCCACTCAGAGGACGGAGGTTGGGCAATAGCTAAAGGAACATGGGAAGGAGATGGAAGGTTTAAATTGTTAATGTATTAATCTGCCTTTTCCGAACAGATTGTGTCCCTCCACCACCACCACCGCTGGCACCCATAAATTTACATTTATTTAAACCCCCGAGGTACATTTCTTTCCAGAAAGGAAACATTGCTGTCAAGGGCACTTGGACAAAGTCATTTACTTTCTGAGTGAGAGCTCAGTGAAGTTTAATAAGAGCTCCAGAGTAACAGCCCAGCATGCTGCAATGCCCATGTTGGCTAAGGGGACCCCCGGCACCAGAGGAGGCAGCGGCTTACTGCCTTGAGCAGTGCTGGGTGCTGCTGAAGGGTGGGTGCTGACAGCTCAGGGTTGCACTGTGGTGTTTTCTGCTTTTCATCAAGCCTAAGCTCATGGCTCTAAGTGATTCTGAAAGACTCTTCTGTCTTTCTTTCATCTATTTGCTTTTTAAGTAGTTTTCTAGTTTTCATGTTTGCAAAGAGACACTTTACATTCAGTGCATCAATGTTAAAAAAAAAGAACATCTCAGCAAGGGAAAAAAAGCATCCAGACTGTTTGCACAACCTCAGGGCTCTTATGCTGGTTTGGTGATTTCTGGAGGCAGAGGGTGCCCCTGGAACCTGTGGCAGTGTGCTGTGAGAGGGCATGGGGATGACCCAGGCAGTGCCCAGGCACAGCGGGCAGGGCAGCAGGGTGCCCTGGCTGGGCTTTTCCTCACCCTTCATGTGATCTTCCCTGCTGGCTGCCTCTGTTTTCCACTTTGTGTCACTCCTGAAAAGGAAGTTTTGACACACCACTGAGTCACCAGTTATGGAAAAGGGTAGTTCCTTCAAACATCTGAGATGGTGCAGGAGAACAAGAGGAAATGTAAACACCCAAAAGCAGTGCCAGTGCTGCAAAGCAAAGACACGTTTTTGGTTTGTGCCATTCAGCATTGCCCTCAGGATACTCTGGAAGCCCTTCTCCAGTGGGTTTTTCCATTTTTCAATTTCAGGAAAGATGTGCACTGCCCCCAAACCTTGTCAGCACTGCCTGCTGGAAAATCCCTTCTACCCACGACCTTGTGAGTGTTCAAAAAACACTATCAGCAGGATATCGTACACTATGTACAGGAATTATGGACCCGTTTCATAAGTTGAGGCATTTGGCTGTCCTGGGAGAATCCCAGTCCAAAATACAGACTGAGATCCTGTGGAAGAGAAGCTGTCACTGTGACCTTGGACCAAGTCATCTCTACCCCCGGGACGAGTCAGTACAACATGTACTGTCCAGGTTCACCATTCTTCACCAAGCGAGAAGGGATCACAAGGGGACAGGTTCAGCTGGTTGTTGCCTCCCTGCAGGGCTGTCTGTGCATAAGCTGAGTGTGATTCACACAGCCCCTTGCCTGCACCACTGCCAGCTTCACAGCAAGCGCAGTGAGGGGCCGGGGCTTCAGCGACTCATAAGACAGCAGCTGCAGCCCAAGGTGAGCTCACTGACCTATGAACCTGCAGCCTTGTGGCACCAGATGTCCGTGCTGGGACTGTGGTGTGCTCACATGCCCCTCCTGCTGGGACTACCATGACCAGATGCTGTTGCCCACACCACCTCTTCCCTGAGCAGCAGCAGGTGGGGATCGATGGTGACTTCCAGTGAGATGCACCCTCTTCAAGCATGTAGGAGTGTGGGGCTGGGGTCCTGAGCAAGCCAGTGCTTTCTTGTCTTGTCCTTCTGACATACCTAGGGCTACCCCTCTCCTGAGGCAGTGTGTCCTGCAGAGACAAGCCAAGGACCCCCAAACTGTCTACCAAATCCAAGGCAAAGAGGTCAAAGTACCTGTGCAGCCCATTCTGCATGTTAGAACACTTGTGAGACCCTGGTGCTGCTCAAATGGCTCTGACAGCCACAACACAAACCTGCATTTCTCTGAGTTTCCCAAGCAAAGAAATACACATCTCCCTTGCTATGATTGGTCTGAGTCTGTAGGACCCCTGTGAATACATCTGATTTCCTTGTTCCTGTGCTTGCACATCAGACTCTTCCCAAGCCATACTAGTCTGGAGCCTGGAAGAACCTGGCCAGTGAGCAGCAGCTGTGGCAGGGGTCTGAGCTGCAGGGGACAGTGAGGCTGGGGTGCCCCTTGTGACTTGCCAGAAATGTGCTGCTCTCTTGCCAAGAACAAATATTGTCATCCTCACAAATGGTTAACCTGCCGGGAGCTGCACAGCACTAATGACTTCACATTCATTTAATCAGCTTGGGCTTTCAGAGCCTCCTGCTCAGGAGCAGGGAAGGCCATGCACCCATGCACTCGGGGTACAAATGCTCCCAAAGCCGCACCCCTGCCTTACCAATCATTAATCACCACGGGCCAGCAAGGAGCAAGCGGCAAGCAAGCAGGAAAAGGCCAGGTCTCCACAGCCCCCACGGGAGCAGCAGGAAGCAGTGCTGACCGGTTCCCTGTGGTGGCAGCTCACTCTCCGACCACCCTCCCCTGGGAGGCCCCGTGGAGGTGGCCAGTCCTGCACGCACAGTCCTTTCCTTCGGGAAGGTCATTTGGTCCAGGGAGCGGGAGGCTCTGCCTGTTTCTGGGAGCTGCTGGGCTACACATGAGGTGGGGGCTCTGAAGAGGAGTTTCTGCCTGGCTGTACCACACTCTTCATCTCTTCACCATGCAGCACAAGGTGTTTTGGAGTGCCCTGGAGTACACCTGCCGATTGCTGGGCATCTCCACTGCAGCAGGTAAGAAGAAATTCTCTTTTTCTTTGTCGCTGAAAGGCACTGAGTAGGTGTTGGGACCCCCAAGCTGCCTCCCTGCCTTTGGACAGGTGCAGCTGCTGCCCCATCCTATGAAGGGGACAAGGACACTTGTTCACTTTTGTTTTGGGACCCAGGGAGGGAGCATGCTGGGTGCCTGGTTGGGCTCTTTCCAAATGCTGTGGGAGGCACAGTGAGACATCAGAAAGGAAGAGCCAGCACTCAGTATGTCAGAGGGCAGGATAAAGCACAGATAGAAAAGAAAACTAAATTATATTCTTCTAAAACAGACATGGGCGCAGTCAAGGTGTGAATGAGACTGAAAAGCAAAATACTCGTGGCTGTGAAAGACTGCCAGGATGCTCTGTGGCATGTGAAGATAAAGGAGGAGCTCCTTGCGCTTTGCACAGTGAAATGTCCTGTGCCAGTCAGGATGGAGAGGTTCCATCCCAGCCATCATGGCACAGTTACTGCAAAAGCACCACTCTGCTTTTCTAGTAACCTGTTAGGGAGCAGGCTCCAAGCAGTTCAGGTTATAGCTGCAGTACAAACATCATAAATTTACCCACCTGGCTAGTTGCATCCTCTCACCCACTGTCAGGGGCTGCTTTTGGACCAGGATGTTCTGGGTTTGGTGATACACTCGAGCACTTGGTTTCAGGTGACATGCAGGTGTTTTGAGCTGGGTGTCAGACACAGCGTCTCACCCAGAAGGACTGAACAACCCTCTGTCATGGAGGATCTCTAGATGGGACTAGGGAAGAAACTAAAGCAGAGGGCTCAGTGGATGACTCTCGCACTGTTGCTGACTCACTGTTATGGGACAGGACAGACAACACTCTCTGACTCAGATTCCCTATCAGTACAGCAGAGATCAAGGTGCCTGATTTGTCTAAAGGCTGGAGGTGTGAACCAGAGGTTCCTGGTGAGAGGTGACTTGAAGTGGTGCCTGTGTTTCCTGTTTCAGACCCCCAGGGATTTCATAATCAGACACTGTAAGGAAGTCACAGCAGGCCCTCCTACCTTCCCGTTTCGTTTATCATTTGCGGACAGCCATAAAAGAGACACTTTGCTCTTGTCAGGGGCAAAGTAAAAAGCACACAGGTCAGCTGAAGAGTGCACAGGTCCCCAAGGACACACAAAGCCCAGCTGGGATGATGAAGGCCCTGGAATGTGCTTCAAATGACTGATACTGATAACAAGCAGTGATTTGAGTTTGTGCAAACTCCCAGTAGATAAGTGCACATCATGATGAGACTGCAACAGTGGGAGTTGGGACACAGCTTTAATCAGCAAATGCAAGTCTCTTAATTTCTCCATCCCTAACCCCCTGGGCCTCATATGAGCCCCATACTGGTCATATTCTCACTTAAAGCTCCCAGGAAACTCATAGAGACCTTCCTGGGATAAAATGTGAGTTTGTTGCCATGAGAAAACTAAAGCTGGAACAACAAAACTCAAAGTAACTTACAATGTAGGAGTGTGTTAGTGGAATATAATCGCTCTCTCCTACTTGTTTTCTTTCCATCATTTTGCATAATCTGCACCTCTCTCTTTAGTTTTTTTTTTAAATGAGCAGTGCAATTGTCTCTCTACTGAGCATCACAGAGCAAAGGACAGCTGTACTACTAATCTCTGTGCTTTTCTGTACCTTTGGTGCGTTCCCAGTATCACCTGACTTTCCAAAAAGGCCATTGAAGAATGGGATGTGCCTGCATTTTATTCTTCTATGTATCTCAATGGAGTAAGAAATCAGCTTGATGCAGTATTCAGTGCCTGATGAAGTGTGTGAGGATTTTGCATGAAATGGAAACCACACTGAAGAGACTCCCATGGGTTTTGTTTGAAAAAAGAACTATGAAAGGGAGAGTGCATCAGCCTCACTAATTGATTCTGAGAAGGCCTGGCCAGCTTGATATGCTGCTAGTAAATACAGGTTATGCACATAATATAAACCTCCTCTTCCCCCAGGATCTTGGAGTGTAACAGCTGTCTGCAATGGTGTATCTATAGGGCTTCTTCTGTATGAGAAAATGGCTAACTTGTCTTATGGCAAGATAGCAAAATCAAATAGCCCTGTGATTATCTACAGTATTGAGGCATCTCTCTAGTTCAGCAATTTTAGGCCTTGTGATATTTACATCTAGGAAAGAGTTCCTGCTTACTTCTTAATTCTCATGCTTTCAACCATTTAATTCCTAATCATGTGCCTTTAGCCACATGCTTTGGACAAAATCCAAATCGGGGCAGCGACTAGTCCAAATAAACACCTCGGAAACAGCCCTTTTCTTCTTGCAGATTCTTCATCCAAACAGCTTTGTGGATAAAGCAGAAGCTGTGCAAAATGAGGAAACCTCCCCATCCAGAGTAGAGGCTTGAGCGTAACAGCCAAGCTGTTGAATTCTGCGTTCATCCACAGGGAATAAATGAACAAATGAATGAACTCCACATTTGTAGAGAAGATTATAAAGAACAGTTCTCAGTCACAAGATTGTAGGGACAATACTTTGTGTGTAGGATTACACAGCTCATGCAGCTTCACAGCCTTCTGATGAGACTGATTTCTCTGTGCTCTGCTCAGGGCTGGAAAGGCAGTGGAGGAGGCACATGGGCCCCATGTGTTCTCTTGGCTGACAGGGGCCAGCAGCTGTAAGTGACACAGGGAAAGTACAGAGGGACTTTGTTCAGCCCCAATGGGAGGGCTGACCCTTGGTGTTGACTCACCCTGCACTCTTGATGGACAGTAACGTGCATCCTTGTTTGGGAGCCTGGTATCCTTTTCCAGATGGGGCAAACCAGAACGCAGAGAAACGGATCCAACCTGCACCTCAAACCTGGGGCAGTGGGCATTGAGCAGGATGAGTGGTGAACTTCCTGAGCACCAGTGAAGGGATGGGGACTGCTCAGTGAGGTGTGGAGGCATCAAGTGCAGACAGGAGTGCAGTGATTGTCCAGAGTGATGCTCTGGCCATAAAATCTGGGCTCTGTTCATCTCTGTGCTGCTGGCACTTGTGCACTGTGACTGCAGCTGGTGTGAGGCACTATGTTTCTGCTCCATTTTAAAAATAGTCTTGAAAGAAACTGAAAGATGTTGAAGGAAATGTTCCATCCCCTGAAGCTATTGGCCAATCCATTGAAGATTTTAGCCTCTTAATCTCTCTTAAACTGACTCCCTGGTGTGCTGTACTGGCTGGGGCACTGAGAGAATGTTCATTCCCTGTTTTTAATCTGCCTGCTCCCATTATATGTTTTTCTGTTTGGCTAGCAAAGGATCTTGATGCTATGGCTACAGCCCTTTGTGAAGGCAGCTGGCACAATTCCCGTGTCCTGCTGCTGTCCTGCAGCCCTGTGTTGGGTGAAGCAGGCCTGGGCAAGCAGGGAGGGCAGGGGAGTGAGGCTGGCAGGCACTGGGGGGACCTGGGCAGAGATGGATGGGGCAGTGAGCAGTGGGCCCTATGGCAACAGTGATGTGGTGGCGCAGTAGAGGGTGAAAGGGTCACAGGACACCACTGCTCACTTGCCCCAGCAGTCTAAGGCCAGCTGGTATCCCCAGAGCACCTTTCCCCAGCCCACGCAGTGGCAAGGCTGCCATAATAGTGGTGCTGCTGGGATGGGTTTCAGGACTGTGTGTCAGAGAGCTCTGGCTCCCGTGGGCTGGTGTGTCAGCATGAATCACTGGTGCTGCCAGTCCTAACGTGCTGCGCTGCATGGGAGAAGCTGCCTTGCTAAGCCTCTGGAGGAACAAGGGCATTGATCCTGGGAGCTGGTAGGGCACCAGGGAATCGGGAACTAACCCTACAGTCAGCATCTTTCCTACCTTCTCTTTCTAGTACTGATCGGTGTGGGCGTAGAAACTCTGCAGCGAGGACAGTTCAAAAGCCTGGCTTTCTATCTGCTGTGAGTATTTTTGCCCTTGAATTCATTCAGAGCTGGCAGAGGGTGACATGGTCAACCCCTCCACCATATATGGCACCAGACCAGACTGCAACAACAGCAGGAACAGTGTCCAAGGCTTTGGGGATTTCAGGTCTCCATACTGAGGTTTCAGAAAAATAAGCTATTTCTGGTAGAGAAAGACATGCTACTGCAGATTCAGGCAGGCCAGAGGTGACACTGGCTGCAAGTTGACTACCTAGGAACAGAAGGGCTATGAGCTCTCCTCCACAAACTAGCTGAGCAGAGGATGTTTGGACCTCAGCACACAGACTTGTGAATTGAGTAGTAAATTCTGGCTCTCTGTGCCCCTTCTGCCACCTAGACAGTATACTCAAGCCCAGCCCTGCCCCCCTGACAGCTCCACCTTTCAGTTTTTCAGGGGTTGCAGTCGCTGTCTGTGAAGGCTTCTTCTTTATCAGTTTGTTCCTGGAGATGTGCTTCACGTGAGTAGATCCTGTCCACTCTTCTCCAGCCTTGGTGGGACCTCCTAAGGCAACTTGCCTCGTACAGGCAACACCAAACCTTGGGGACCTGCAAATGCCAGACCAAAGGTCCTTTCCCTAACGCCATGGCAAGTGTACTCAGGTGGGGGTGAGGTAAGTGGGGCCATGTCCAGCACCATTTAAACCCATGTTTTAAACCAGGCTTGTGCCTCAATTTGCTGAGCATTGGCACAACAAACTTTGCCCTCCAGCATCCACTTAACACAGTATGTAGGGACAAGTACCTGGGTTGAGGAAAGAGCCAGATCCCCAGGATGAGCTTCAGCTCCCTTCCAGAGACAGTGCAGAAGTTAAAATTAAAATGTACAAAATCCTTATGTACTTTTCAGAGGCTGAGCACTGCCACTGTCTTCTAGCACAAACTCAAAAGCCCTCATATCTTAGAGGCAACACCTTACTCCAGCTACTCAGAGGCAACAACTTACTCCAGATAATAGACATTTGATTAGTGACCAAGAGGGCAAACACACTGATAGATTGCCTGAGATGCTGGCCTCTGGCAGATGCAGCCCCAGACTCTTGGCATGGCTTACCTTCCCTGACCAACACACCAGTCTTCTGGAAAACCAGAGTGAGGATCTGCACATCTAGGTGGGTGACAGTTAGGTCCAAATTCTTGCCATGTGCTTGATGCCTCATCCCACAAGGACCTCTCTTTCTCTCCCCAGTCACAAGCCTGAATCCCTGGCACAGGCCTGCTGGAAGCGAGCTAGACGCCCGGGGAGCTTCCAGAAATTCCTGGGGTACACGCTGCTGTCAGTGGCTTGCTTCCTGCATCCCATCCTTGTCTGGCACGTCACCATTCCTGGTGAGAAGCTTGGGTGGGGAGCAGTGCAGATAGAAGAGGAGCATGGTCTGTCAAGGGCCAGTGAGGGTGGGGATGGGTGGGGTGCTGGGCGAGTGGCAGATGGTAGTGAGCTAGCCAGAGCAAGCACTGCTTGGCGAGCTCTTCCCACTTGCCACAGCCACAGCCAATGTGACCTTCTCCCCAGGGTCCATGCTGGTGCTCACTGCCCTGGCCTACTTCCTGCTGAGCAAGAGGAGGAAGAGCCCAGAACACAAAGAGACGCATCCCCAGGTGGGCCAGTATGTGGACCCTTCAGCCACCGTGGCAGCCCCAACCATCGTGGGTGACACTGAGCAGATCTACACCTTCCACGGGACCCAGAGGGAGCAGCACCGCTCACTTCTGGGCCACATGAAGAGCATCCTGAAGGGCAGCAAGGACAGGAGCTCAGCCCCAGTAACTCCTGCCCAACCAGCAGCCATGCCAGTCCCTCGCAAGCAAGTGCACTTCCAGGAGAAGGTGGTGCAGATCATCCCCTCTGTCAGTGAGAGCTTGGAGGATGTGGAGAGTGAGGCTGAAGAGACCACATCAGACACAACACCCATCCTCACCCCACCTGATGCCCCCATCATCCTCGCTCCACTCAGCTCCCCGGGGCTCTTTTGAGGCCTCAGCAGGAATGAGGACATGACAGACCTGCTACCCCTGGCACTGGCATTGCTCCCTGATGCTCCAGTAGCCAAAGGGCCCTCCCTCCGTCCAGGGTGGCAGCTGTGCTACCCCCGTCTTCAAGGGGTGCCCACACTACGTAGTCCCACATGTTGTGGCAGGGCCAGGGGACAGGCAGTGGTTCAGCCAGGGTAGTGCCAGGACAGAGAGGTTTCTGCTCCCGTGTCCTCTCACACGGGTCACCCCTCTGTTACAGCACTACAAATCACTGCAGCTGCTCCTGCCTAACCTCACAGCCGTGCCTCCCCTCTGGCAGCAACAGGCAGGACGAGCGGAGACTGACATGCCCCAGAGCAGCCTCTGCTGGGGCAGTTGTCTCCCTCTGGTCCTTGCTGCACATTGAAGAGCTCAGGGCTGGGGCACATTCAGCACAGAGCACTGCAGCCTGCAGGTTCCCTTGCAGCATCTGCACCAGCTGCAGCAGCCTGGGACATCCAAAATGGCATTTCAGAGGTGGGCTGAGACCAAGTACAGCCCTGGTGCTGGCACCTGCTCAGTACTGCTCTTAAGACACACTCTGAGCCCAGCAGGGTAATTACCTCTGGCCTTGGAAGCACCTATGGGGCAGCAGGGAGCACCCTGGGGCTTCCTGGTGCCCCCTGCTTGGACAGATCTCTTGAATTAGAAGAGCTTTGGGATGATATGGTAGCTCAGGTCCTGAGATTCAGCACCACGCTGGCACGGCAGACTGTGCCACTCCCAATGTGTGTAATTATGGCCCCTAGAGGGCAAAGGCAATAATAAAATTACAGAGCTGTCTAACCAGTTCCCTCCATGCCAGCTCTTTCCTGAACACTTCATCTCTGGCTTAATCCTAACATAACTTCTGCCTTTTGAGGACTGTTCACCTGTAATCAGGCATTTTCCTCCTGTTCAACTTATGCTCTTGGTTCTCTCCCACCTGAGAACATGTGGGAAAGAACTCAGGTGTCTGGGTTTCATTGAACATAAGACATTAAGCCACACTGTCATCACTGTTGGGATGTAGAGTTGTAATTGTGTGGAGCCCAGACATACAGCATTGGGGTAAGATGATGGTAGGGAGAGAAGTTCCCTGAGACCTGCTAGACTATTTATAAAGTAGAAGCCAGTCAAGCTGGTTGTTTTTCTGGAAAATATGTTATTTCTTCTCTTTAAAATCTCAGCTCTCCAAGTGGCAATCGTCATGCTCATTTAGGAAAGTGGCATAGGGCAAAGTGTAATCAGAAAATGGTTGAGATAAGTACTTTTTAATAAACTCTTTTTAACTGACTTCTAATTTGTGAGATGGATGAGAAAGAAGGTGAAAGATGTTGACTCACAATGTTTATCTGCCTGTGTTTGTTAATGAAACACTGTCAACAAGAGAAGCTTATGAAGAGTTGCACACACTTGTTATTCCTACAATCAGACATAGACAAAACCTTTTTGTTGCATCACCAGCATTTAAAATGATAGCTGGTATCAGTCTGCTCTAAATATGATGCATGGATTAGAGACCTCTTGTTTCTGGCTGCAGAATTTAACCTTCGCCCCATAATTGTGTGCTGGAGAAGAGTCACCTACACATCTGCCTTTAGGGTGGATTTGCACATGGAAAGATGTCTTAATTGTACCCAGTTATAGCCTAATGCTGCACAGCTGATAGCAGCAAGCCCAGGATCCAACCACAGCTCCACCCTCAACCTAATGTGTTCTTCACAGTAGGAAATAAAAAATAAAATTATTTTCCTCTTCAGTTGGTGATAAACAAGAATACCTGTACCCACGAAGGTCCTGACCCAGCCATGCTGACAGGGTACCCACCCTTGCCAACTGCCGAAAAAGGTTGTGCTTGGAGCTGTCTCCCCAGTCTCAACCACACATCTATTCTGCAATTAGAACCACTCTCATACACAGAGTCAGCTTTCTGCATCATTCAAGGTTCTTCTTTGAACATTGCATAATTAATTACACACAGAGAGATGAACTTTGTTGAAAAGACACCGCTCCCCATATATCAGGCAATCTGCTGACAAGAGAAAGACTGCAATTCTGTAGACTCCTCTCTAGCCCTCAGCAAAGGGCAGCCTGGGTGGGAACAGTTGCTCTGAAGCAAATTTCATCCTTCAGCCCTTACTTGATCAAGCCCTTACTTGATCCACATGGAACAGCAGGGCCAGCTGGCAAGGGGAGAAGCAAAGTGGTGAGAGCACCTGTGGCACCCTGAAGTGTGTGGGGCACAAATTTCATTGCTCTGTGAAATGCTTAAGATGAGTTTGTGGTTTCTGGAGTCTGAAGAATTAGGTTTCAGTTTTTAGGCTCATATTTTAAAAGTGTGTTATAGGTTTCCCTTCAGAAGCAAGACTGGGGAAAGCTACAAGGTGAGGTGTTTTTTCATCCTTCATGGAGACAGCATTGGACCTGGTTGCTTTTCTTGCCTGCTCCCTTGTGTTGGCCTGGTTCCTCTCCAGCCTCACAGCTAGTTGGCTCAGGAGATAAAGGCTGGAAAAAAAAGGGTGCTCATCTTTTCTATGGTATTAAATTGACTGTTCAGTTAAGGTCCATGGCTGACTCACCCTGGCTTCAGCCAAGAGCCTGCATTAGTGCTAGGGAAGTGGATATTCCTTCAGAGGCAAACAATTTCTGCCTCAAACATCACCAGAGGGGTGCAATCCCACCACAGGAGCTGATCTGCTTCCTGGGTCGCCCCTGCCAAGAAATTCATTTGTACCTCCTCTGCTCTGCTCCTCACCATCCATCCCGTCCCCTGGTGTCGTATTCCAGCTCCATCAGTGTACAGACCCTGTTAGCCCAGAGGAAAAATAATTAGGAAAAAGAAAGCAGGTGGCTATCTTCTTTGGTAATGAGCCAAGTAAATTCAGGGAGGGCCAACCACAAATGAAGGGGGTGGGGGATAAAAGCACCTCTTTCAGAGGCAGAAGGCTGTTAGAGCAGCTCAACTGCTTAAAGAAACACAGCCTCAGGCTTTCTTTAAAATCCCAGTGCAGAGGAAATGTTCAGCCTCAGGGGGTGTCAGATGACTTTGCAGAGGCCTCAGAGATTATTCACTCAAGTGTACACTTCTTAGTTGGCCCCTCTCCCTAAATCTATCTGAGAGGGTTATCCCAGGGGCTATTGAAAGCACCAGAGATGCTTTAGAGGGCTGTGGGGGGTCTGTCCAAGAAAAACTCTCATATGTGCAGGGTAATTGCAGGAAAAGAAAAAGAGGCAGAACTTGATGCTATTAACTGTGCAGTGTAGTAGTATTTGAATTTGAGCTACTTGAACTGTAAGTCTGCACAGCACTACATGAACTCTCCTATATAATTTTTGCCTGCATTGCAAAAATTCCTTGCTCAGCTGGTCCACTGAGATTAATCTACTGAGTTAGAGTGCATAAAGCTATAAACTCCTGTGGATTCACATACTGAAAGGAAACAAGATGAATCATTCAAAAGAAATACATGTGTAAGGTAAAACTCTGTGAGGTAATCCTGGCAGAAATTGTTTCCTTCAAAGTTTCCACGAAAGATATCCCTGCATGAGGAAAAATTTTCCTGCTTTGCGTGTACATGTGTAGTGGAAACACTCTTCAATGCTACTTGACAGCTCCTATCACAACTTTGTGAACTGCTATGTTGCAAACAATTACTCCATTTAAAGTTTTATATGAAGGCAAAATCAGATTTCGGTACAAGCTTTAGTTACAATTCTTCTCTGCCCCCACTGCACACTAGTATGAGTAGTTGTTGCAGAGCCCTGGAGATGGGTACACAGCCTGCCCTGCAACAGCGCTCCCACCTCACACCAGGTACTTAGATGGTCACCCCCCAAAATCCCTAGCTCCCCCCTGGGACTCTGGTCCCCAGGTTCTCTGAGCACTGTTCCATATTTGAAATATGGAAATGAATGTTTTACCCAAACAATAGCAGTGTTAAGAAAATAAGGTACATTTGGAGAGAAGCGTGTTCAGTTTCTGCAGTGTCAGTACTCAAAATCAGCAGTGCCCTGCTTGTATCTGTGACTGCAACACCCATGGCAGCAAACACCAGTGTCAGCATCAGTGGTGTGGGTGGCTCCTAGTTCAGTACTGAGTCATGTCCACATGCAGGAGAGGACCTGTCTCCACTTGATTCCAAATGCTTCATGTTCACATACCTGCAACTCCACCACTCCTCATCCCTGCACCTTCTATCCCATTCAGGAGATTCTTCCAAGTGCTGGACCAGAAATGCAGGTTCTGTTTTGTCTGGCCTCCTGCATTTTGTGCTGTGCAGGAAGTTACAGGAACCAGAAACTGGATCCCAAACCTGCCTGGGATTGCTTGGAGCTGTCAACTCCCTTATCTGCTTGGTATAATGCCAAATCAGGAATATGACTTCCAGCCACTATATCTCATCTGGCATACCACTAGTGAAATGACTGCATAGGTTATATCTGAATAAATGATTAAGACAACTTTTGGATTCTAATTCTAGGCAATTATTCACTCAGCATGTGACTTAATTGAATCTTGTTTTGAGGCTCTAGGCAAAACACCAGGAACCAATCTAGGTCTTTGGATCACAGACTAAAGAGGGAATTCATATTTCAGAGAGAAAAGAAAGTAAATAAAAATGGGGGGGAAAGGGAAGAGTAACATTTACTGGCAGCTCCTCCTCATCCCATCCCAGACTTCCTACAGCACAGGAGGAAGTTGCGAACAACATCTTAACATTAATCCCCACTCTATTCTCATCTCTTCCTTCTGCCCAGACACTCCTTCACTCCAAATCTTTCCACCCCAGAGCACTATTTAAAAAGAAGTATCATCTTGATCAAGTCACGCTAAACAACATTACACATACTGTGACACGATTGCACATTTCCTTTCTGCCCCTCCCACTCCAAAACTCCCCTGTGGGAACGGTTTGGTTTGTTATGCACCCAGATACCCAACTTTACTTGTTAGCCCCCAGCTCCCTGTTGGCACCCTGCTGATGCACAGCCCACTGCCCCTACATTTGCTCTCCCTGGAGATACACACTTGCAGCTGCAGTTTTGGGTGAGGCTTTCAGTGCTGCAGAGGGAGATAACATCTACCAAACTGTGCTAGAAGGAAAGAAGGCAGCAGACACAAGGGATATGCCCGGTGAAGAGAGACTGTATGGCAGCCCCAGATAACTTGTTATGACTTTCTGCTTCTTTTTTTTTTTGTAAATCTAACCTTCCAACTCTTGATGCCTGCTTATGTGCTACAAATATCTCACAGTAAAAAAGCAATTTATTTTTTTCAGCATTGTTTTTGTTAGACTGCATTACTTCTTTCAATAGCATGAGAAAGCAGAAGAACACAAAAAGAGTTTTATTGTTCACAAAACTGAGCTGAAGAAGCTCTTCTATATTGGCCACTCTCTCAGACACACTCAAGTAGAATTCTCTGGGGGAATGTGGTATAAGACTTTTGAATTTGATATAGTAGCACTACATTTCTGCCTTTCAAGGTGGGGAGGCTTACTCTGGTTTCTTTATTACTTCTTTCCCTGTTGTGCCTATTGAGGAGACAGTCCCCAGCACAGGAGCAAGCCTGCCTCCCTGCCCAATCAAATGCAGGGACCATATCCCATTTTATGTCACAATCTGCCAACTTATGTCCCCACACC